TAAGACTGTCATGCCACAAATACAACGTACTGTCAATCCGTGAAAACTGACGAGAAACAGCAATAAACTAAGAATTTGAATATCTTATTTTAAACGACTGTTTAAATCTTGTTATGAATTTTCAAGTAAATCCGTGTAGTAAATTTTGTAACCCCACAAAAAATTCCCCGTGTAGCGTCCCGATATGAAAAATGTTCGATATATGGCATTTTAGAAAAAAAGCTTTAATTTTAACCCCCTCCCAGATTTTGATAAAATATATCAGGTCACTTTAAATACTTGTTTCATTAAAGAGCTCACTTCTTCCTACAATAGCGATATATTTGTTTGCAGTAGTCACGAGTAGTTTTCAGTTTGGTAGTTGTACTGTTATTTGGAGGCCATTGTTTGTAAAGCGATAAATGTGATAATGTGTTGGCGAAACGAAGCTAGTTTTTATCAATATTATAGAAGAGTTTGTGTTCCATCGAGGTTGTTCGTAATTCATCTGTGACTGCTCCTACCCTTTCAGACAATGAACACATAAATTCTACCTGCTTCGTTATCGTGCCTGCTGCTGTTATGATATCATACTTATAAGTTTGCTGGGAGTTGACACAGCAAACACCATAAAGTTTTTTCTTTACTTTCATGACAGTGGGAGTCACAATGTAGATAGAAAATTTTATAATCTTAAACAATTTCAAAGTGATGTTTTAGGTGGGGGAGCTGCTGGGAGGTTAGAGTTCTCAAATGGGGATCTGTCCCCCATGCCAACTTGGTGTATACAAATTAACTTAATGAAAATCATAATGCCGGAAATATAGCTGGATGATTCTCATATCGCCATGCAAACGAACTGAATAATGTACCCCTTTAATAACAAATATACACTTGAATGTTTTTCGTTTTTTTCAGAAACTCAACATTCTTGTAAAGATAATTAAATGTTAAGTTCTTGTACGTTTCTTGGATAACAAGTGATTCTATTTTAACGCCACGTAATTTCATACGTTATTAGTTTGGCTTTTGGTAACTTGGTAATTTTTCAAACTAAATGAAAGAAACATATAGCAAAATTTCTCTGTTGTAAACTTTGTTTCAACAACCAAGTACAGATGCACGTATGTAATCAAATTACGTGACCTTAACAAAATGTATGATATCATAAGGGGGTGTTTGATGTCGGAAGTGAAACAGGAAGCTCCAACAGTCATACTTTGCTCATAGGAGACATTATAGCTATCTGACTGGCAAGGGGTGGGCTAAAAAAATAGTATCAGACTGCTGATTTTTGAAATTTTAAAATTTGTTGAGTACTTAGAAAGGATTAGCTACTGATAAAACTCAATTCAAGTCTATAGTTGATTCAATTCCAAAGTAAAACACGAAGTAAGAAGGGACGAACGATGGCCACACCCACTTTGGGGTTATAATATGTCAAAAGCCACCAAGTGTTGTAATATTATCCTGCCCATTCCCACCTTGTTTCCTTACTTTTTGATGCTCCCATTGCTACTTCCTAATTTGTTATTCAAATTTTTATTACACTTGTCTCATAGCTTTTTGTGGTACTAAGTCTCAAGAGTGACTGGATTCTAGGCCTATCCTTCTCGGAGCTTTTCTTGCAGCTATCTCTCGACATTTCTTGGCTTTTGCTGATATCTTTGGTATAGTTTTTCTTCCATCTAGCCAGGGTGGCAGCCTTTTCCTTGGCTGGATTAATGGCTAAGACTTGTTTCGCATATTCAGCATTACTGTTTCTAATCTTATTTCTATTCTTGCTGTAATGCTCTACTCACTGGAAGACTTTTCAAGGTCATCAACATAAGATTTCCTCCTCTTTTCCCGTTTTATTTTCTTGAAAGGCATATTTAGAAAATCGCTCTGTTTCAAGTACAACCTTAAATGTCAATAGGTGATACTAAGCTTGAAACAATGCAAAGAATATATAACTTATCATTCTTATCTTCAGCCTAAATGCTCGAGCAAAGCCGCGTCAGACTTCGGCAGTGGTAGTGTTCGTTCTCACGTCTTAAATACCGACTGTTATGATAGAATTGCTTTGTCCAACACAGAATTTTCGAGTCAGATGTATAGAATTGAGAACTTTTCTTTTAGAGGTTTGATCATAGTTAGAACCTAGATCTAGATAATCTACGTAGTCCACGTTTTTCAATCTAGGGTGGATTGTTACTTCGCAACTCACAAAGCTAGCTTGTAATAATAGAATATGGCTATTAGTGTATTGTTAGTTCATTACTAATGTTGCAAAATGGTTATTATTACTTGTTATTATAAAGTTTATAAATAAAACTAAGAAAAACGTTGTTAACCAAGGTAGCATAATTCAATCATGTGCATTTAGATTTGCCTAAGGTGAAGGCAGGAGAGAGCTACGTCTTTCCAACAACGTTAGGCAGTTAGCCAGTCAGATCGACAAATTTGTGGTTTTGTGAAATGTTCGTTTTTACTCTACCGAATTTCTCAATTGCTTTGGTGGCTTGTTACTCTGCAGTTGGTTTGTTTACTACTCAGCAGTGTGGGTGAAGTGCTTATAAAGTTTTGATTACATGCTGTTTGCAGTGAGTTTGAGATTTTAGTTTGTATTGCACATATGGCCCATTTCTACTATAAGTACTACTGTCCTATTAGAACCAGAGTAACCATAGACTTCTGTCCTATTAGAACCAGAGTAATCATAGATTGATTCAGTCTTACCTACATCACACTAGTGTGATCGTAATTTTTGCAAAATAATATTCATTTTCCGTGGAGGCTTGTAATGTGTATACGATATACATATGTATATATATTGTGGAACGATAATTTATTACAGTAATATATATATATAATAAATATCGATGAGAATAGTTAAAAGTACTGCAAACCAAAACCAGGAGTGGACCTGTCCGGTAATGTAGGCAACAAAACAATCTTATCAGTTGTTTGCAAAGTTACATTGTTGCCTGAAGTGGAAGGAGTGTTATAAACAACAAACACTGCTATCGTCAGATACAACTTTTTATTGACACAGTATTATCAAACAACATTCTAGGTTAATGGAAATAAATACTGTGGGTGTTGGCATTTGGGATGATAAAAAAAGCATCAAAGAGAGTAACAAAAGACTTGAACTTCTCAGTTGTCATAATATTGTATTGATTTTATCGTATTGCTGGTTATCAGAGAATTAACTGTTACTGTCAGGTAGGATTATATTTCAATCTTTAGAACATGTGAGACGATTTAGTTGCAAACCAATCCAAAGGCAATGAGTTGAATTTGCACAGCAATAATTTTATTAAAATTTTTAAACCTATTAACCATTAAACCAACAGTATATATTCCATACTATGCTTAGGGTCAATTACCCAAATAAGACACCACAAAGATTGAAAAGAACAATAACAAATAAGAAATAGGACGAAGAAATGATATAAGCCTTAATTACATTAGGTTATACATATTTTATGGTGCTTGAAAGGTTTCGCTTTCCTGATTATATACGTTGTTCAAGTTTACGAACATTACCATCAAAAATAACATTCACGTTTATTTTAAAAGATATTCTCTAAAAAAAAAAAACTACAACCCAAATCATCGTACCTTCAATGTAATTTAATTAATTAATTATTTTTCTAATAATTGATTTTTATAATGGCTTCCTAATCTTTAGAACTTTGATACATTTACCAAGAAATATTAACTTTACATAACAAAAATATATTTAAAGTTTAAAAATACTAGTCAAAAAATAAAAGAGGTTCCTGGTAGTTATTGTCGTGAATATAAATAACACAATCTATGCTTGATATTATTTTAGAAACAAAAGTGAAGCAAATATAGTTAAAGGAGAAACATGAGCATGACACTATTTTAATATATATATATATATATTATCTAACGACACATGAATTATTACTTTTCTGATCATGTCTTTTTCTCAAAAAAAGTTTCTTTAGTACAAATGTTTTGCGAATAAATTAACAGCCAATATAATACCACCAGCAACCGAGTCATTAATGATCTCTGTCAGATCCGATAGCCACCCTGATAACATAAAAAAGTAAAAAAAAAAGAAAAGAAACGAGACTCTATAAATACTTTAACTATGAGTCATTATTCAGGGTATTGCAAGTAGTTATAAACATAACACCATGTATTATCTCCAAACGACAAAGCTTATATATTCAATTTTGTTCAGTACAATCCATCGCCATTCTTCTCCTCTTCTTTTGTAGCGCAATACTTATATTGAATATATATTTATTTATTTAACTAGAACTATGATATGGGATTGTTAAGAACTATCTTACGTTCAAGAATATCATGATTAACTGAAACTTAAATGTAATTTATCCATTCTATTTAGTGGTTGTTATTGTTTTATTAGCGAAAAGCTACACGATGAGCTATCTATGTTTTGTTTAACGAGGGGAATCGAACCCCGGATTACAGCGTCTTAAAATCCGTAAGCTTTCCGCTGACTCACCGGGGACCTACTAATCGGGCATACTCAAGTGTAATATGCCTGTTATGGCTGATATGGACAATTTGGTACCAGCAGGCATGCGTTTTTTACGTGATCTTAACTGGGCTATAGTAACTGACTTATTATTATTGAATGAAAAATAGGATTCACGAGTGCAAAGTAAACACACTGCATTATATATATCTTACGTTTCTTTTATTGAGGGCCACACGTCTCTTCTATATTAGGCTCCTGACAAGTTTAAACTTTGGTTAACTTTGACGGAAATTAAAATTAATACAAGCGTTATGTATAAATATCTTATAAGTAAGTAACTTTTTTTTACTATGCCTGAAAATACTTACTACTTCAATAGTAAATTAGAATATCAGCTAGAAAACAACGCTCTCAGATGTTTATTTTTTTGTTCTTATTATTCTCTGTAATCACGGAAGGAGGGATGGAATGTCAGGTACGAACGATTCCCGTTTTGAACCTCACGGAAAACTGAAAACAGTGCTGCAGGAAACGTGGCGTTATAATGTTATATTCACAACCTCTTTCGTTTGCTAATGTGGTTCTTCAATCTAGCATGAACTTTGTTTGGGCCATGAACTGGACTCCTATTGACTCGCGGCTTACATTTGAGAAACCGCCCCCCCCCCCCCTTAAAAGAATCCTATTGACGTCAATGGAAGGATATGCATTTATACAAGAAGGACCAGACATAGAGATAGTAGTATTAGCGATACTTACTGTAGAACTTACAACATAAATCAAATTATTCTTAAAAAGTGTACGTGTAGAGGATGAATTAAATGGAAGTGTATATGCCTTATGTAAAAGGGTCAGCGGCAAGTTTAAGGAGTTACAAAGCTAAAAGTCCGGGGTTTGAGTCCCCATGGTCGACATAGCATAGGAAGCCCATTGTGTAGCTTTTTGCTAAAATACCGAATCTTGCATACAATATTGGGTAAGTTATTTTAACAATTTGTATTGTTTCACAAACGAAATAAATCACCTGTCGCTCTATTCTTAACATAGCTATAAAGTATTACGCATCTTCAACCCAAACTTTTAATATACTTACTTAGTTATGATGATATGATATATATATATATATATATATATATTCGTAATAATTAGTTTACATTTTAGCATGTGAGTATATATATATATATACATATACCAAAAGAGATCCGAACGTGTTGCTAACATCTATAACGATTTGTTTCAACATTAAAAAATCTTAAAAACACATGATATTAATAAAAATAGAAATACCGGTGTTTAAAAAATAGACCTGTTATTTAGAATTTTTGTGTTGCAAATTGTAACTTCAATAAGATACTATTGCGTCACGAGTGTGAAATCACAACAGTTAGTTGAGTTACTAAAACGTCCCACGCGTAGGCTGATGATTTTTGTTGTTTACTGCGAGTCTTCTAAACACGAAGTATAAAAGAAAATCGTGTTTATTACATTATTTATCATGTTCATGATAATTTAATATTTTAGTATAAAGTAAACATGTTTTTAACAGTGTCATCACAGGATAGCAATTATTATTATTATTTTAAATAAAACGTTGAATTTTTGATAATAACGTTTCTTTGGTAATTATTTTAGAAAATGAGGGCTCATACCAGGCCCGGATTAATTAGATTACTAAGGAGTTTAACTCTCACAAATTAGGCATGCTGTCTAAAGCCATTTGTTGCCCACCTTATTTTAGCATATTTTAGGCTTAAACACAACTGTGTGGATTGCTTGAACTTGAAGGACAGTTACATTAGAATATTTATTTGCTTGTTCTTTTTGTATCTATTTTTTTTACTTTCTTTTTATAATACCAGCATCAAGAATAAAATCCGTAATGGCTGTTTGTACACCGTATTTTGAAGCTAAGAACAAATTAGTTCAAGGAACCTACTGACTAGACAACACACCCATGTAATATTATATATATATCAAAATCATTACCACACCCATATATAAGATACCTTATCGTTTATATTTAAGATTTAACCACATCATTTCTATAATAGATAAAAAAATGACCATTTCGCCTTAATTCAATTATCAGTACTTATACTTAATTAAACATTACTTCATCCAACATCCTATAATATTCGTTAATTACGAGTCTCTAGCTCACAGTTATTACCTCCTAGACGTTTGTTCATTTTGTGCTGTTGTAAACACAAGTTGATTCAGAATGAACTAGTACCAAAATATTAAGTTCTTGAACGCCGGAATGAATAAACAACCGTTCAAGAAAGCTAACTGTTGATATATCTCTTCATGAATGGAAACTATCACAGACTGAAGCCTTCAAAACCCTCGAAACTATTTCACTCAAAGACAAGTGAAAAGGCCAAAACTAATTTCTAATAACAAAAACGTTATCGTGAAAATAAAAGTAAAATAAACTTTCAGTTTGAATATTACTAGATATATTTAACCGAAACATAAAAAAACAACAACATAGAATAGCAAAACAAAAGGCAACCTAAAAACAGTAAATTCATTTTTGACACATTTTATACAAAAACAAAACAAACCCAGAAGTCAAATTCCAACATTAAATCTTTCTAGCCGAACCAGTTTTGGTGGTCTTGTCCAGAGGCGTCGTAATAAGTTTGATCGTAAACTGAAACATCAAAAAAAAAGAGAAAAAAATACCAACTTACTAATACACAATAACAGACTCAGACAACTCGCACGTAAAATAATAAATACAAATTATGAGGTAAAAACATTGAACTCGCACAGACTTTTTGAGCGTGGCTCTGACTTATTTTAGACCTTTACTGGAGTCATTCTGCTCAGCGTTCATGTGTTTGTGAATAATACACATAGTTACAATATTAATTAAAGGGGTTTAATGAATTTTTGTAAAGCAGTGAGGTGTACCACAGTGGCATGAAATGATTAACTGGGAATTGTCACAATGGAACAATTTCATGAGTATGTTTCATTAGGACCGTCACTAAATGTTAATGTTTTAATAAATTTATATATTTTAATAGTAATTTCAAAACCTAAGAACTTGTGTAAATGACCAAGGGAGGAAAAAGCCATTTCATTTCATGGGTAGAGTCCAAGTCAATGTTATAGCGTTGTATAATCTCTACTTGGTTAATATTGATAAAAATGGCAGTCTTCCTTACTGAACTCATTATAATTAATGGTTATTTCATATAAAAACTTTTGGGTATGAACAAGTATATCATGCCCCAAAGAGCCTTCAAAGAGACCATGAAAACACAACAATGTTTGTATATATAGTTTGCAGGTTTTTCACCCGACCTATACCTGGAGATGGCGTGGACAGCGCTCAGATATATTGAGAACCACTGTATAACCTATATACGACTTGTGTCCGTTCGTTCAGCCACCAGTAAGCATGATTTCCTTGTCTTTACCAACCATATTTTCTAGTTTTAACTCGAGCATCAAGCTTATGTTTGTTTAAAGACAAAAATAAGTCGGTTAGTTTATTAATCCAGCCAAATTGAAAATAATAAACTTACCTTTTATCACAGCTAGAGTAAAGTAGTTACAAGATAGATAATATTAAGCAAATAAAAAGTACATCGAAAGTAAATAAAAATCTTTTTTTTTTTTACACAACTATATTTACAAAACAGTATGAATATACTTCAATAATCAACCATGGATTGTAATAAGCAGGAAGATTTAGTTGATATAACTCAGAATCATATGTCTAATCTTAATAAGCAGGGAGAAAAAAATATTGACTTGTTTTAGGTTTCACGCAGGAACTTTTAATAACCAGGAAAAAACAGATGTGGTTTAGGTTTTCATGCGTAAACCTGAAAGATAAGGTAACAAAGAATAATTCACCTCGACCATCTGCCACACACCAAGCATAAGAAGGTTGAGTGATTACACCCACAGGCCCATGCTGGTATGAAAAGCTGGGAGGAGGTGCATGCAAAACTCCAGGTCCTGAGCTAGGTGGAATTGGAACTACGCTGTGACTAGGTTGTTGATCGAAACCTGTTAATAAGTAACTTTATATTAAACATTGTCACTTGTATTAGAATTTGTGTTTCTCCAGAAACACAGTGTTTACATATCCGGGAAGAACCACGTTATCTTCCCTTGCTAAATAACAAGACGAAAAATCTAAACTGTCACTAAGTAGATGGTTATTGCCGTACCACCAAACTCACCAAGAAATAAAAATAATTACAATTTTCTAGTTTTCATTTAAGATTTATTTAAAGCTTTTTAGAGGAACATCTATGAAGAAAAGGCACTTTCCTGGTGGGTAGACATACATGATAATCCAATAGTTAGTTATCCACACAGAGAGACTTAAGTATGAGGGACATTAATGAACTTCTGAACAACTTTAGATAAATAATGTCGTGGTTTATGATTTTGATAATTGAAAAATAAAATGCATATAATAGACATTTAGATCAAGACATCAAAATTATAAGAAATTCCTTATAATCAATTGTAGTTTGATAAACAAATGTTCTAATTAAAAGATGACATTAATTTATATCATCAATAAAATTATTTTAAACTGTCTTTGGAGATGAGCTTATCATTTTGTATATCAGACGCCCTCCATTCCAGTAATCTAGCTAAGCCTAGTTTCTTCAGGAACAATACAATACTATTATAATAGAATTTCAATATATACACTGACTGGTTCATTGCTGCTTTTAGCTTATTTAACTTGAGATTTAGTACGCCAAAAGTTGCATCTTGCCCTTTGATGACCTCCATCAGATTCACATGTTTTAGCACTTCGAGTTTTTCTCTTCCAAAAAAGTAACAACAAAGAAATGTGACAGTTAATTTTGATATTACATTAATGATTAATTTCCGTTTATATTCTTAGCTTATTTTCTAAGTTTCTAAGGATTTGCGAAAGTTTAGTGACTTTATGACTAATATAAAGAGAACTGCACTATTATATTGTTGCGTCAGCGAGTCACATGATCACCGTGACGCAACGTTTCTAGAACTATCATGTACTTTGGCGAATGTTCAAGTTCTTACTAGAAATAGGGTACGCTGGTATATAAAAGAGGGGAATGTAATGTGTGATAGTCAGTGAGTAATTGAACTGCAGTAACAGGGTATTGTTGAAGTTAACGTTCGTTCGTTACAGTGTTGTTTTAGCGCGAGCATTGAGATTAAGTGTATCGAAGAGTTATATTCGGAAAGAATAAACCAGTTTTATTAAGTAAAGACTTGTGTCGTTAAAGTTTCGTTGGAACGAAGTTACGGAAAGTTAATTAACAAACGGAGACGTAACAATATACTCTTTTTAAGAAATGAAAACAAACCATTCTTACGCTCATACGCTACTCCAAGTTGACTTAAAAAATATTCAGCTGCTGCTTGCTTGGCTTGATTAGGGTCAGGATAAGCCCTGGTACTCTGATTCAAATTGTATTGAGACGGCAAATTCGGTATCGAAACCTGTTGTATTGAAAACAAAGTAAGGAATTAGTTTTGTTTTTAAATCACGACATATTCGATAAACCACTTCTAAGTATTTTGAATTATAAATTACGGTATACATGAGATATAAGATTGGAAATTTTAACTAGTGCAAATGAAAATTGATACATTGAAAACACGAATACGACATGAGAACTAAGAACAGGGTATAATGTATTACGTCATAATAAACAAACAAAAATCACTAAGGACTGGACATAATGAACAAGAAAATTAAGGACTGGACATAATGAATTAAGTCACAGCTAGTACTCAGCGATTATCAATTTTGCAATTAGATCATTATTACGAAAAACGTGGTAAAAGATATTGAAACAATGAAAAAATTACAGTTGATAACTTGGTGTTCATAACTTAATGAACAACACGTGGCGTTAGACAAGAATGAACAGTAATCTGAAACTAATAATGGCTGGAGACGGCTTGTATCGCTAAAGTTTCTTCGGAAAGAATTTTTACGGAAAGTTAACTAACGAACGGAGGCGTAACAATATTGTTACGTCTCCGTTCGTTAATTGATTTTCCGTAACTTCGTTCCGACGAAACTTTAGCGACATAAGTCCTTATTTAATAAAACTGGTTTATTCTTTCCGAATACAACTTTACGATACACTTATTTTCAACAGTCGCTCAATAACAAACGCTATATCAACGAACGTCAACAATACTTCTGACTGCAGTTCAATTACTCACTATCTACACACACATTATTCTGTCACGTTGTCACCCTCTTTTATATAACAGACTACCCTATATGTAGTAAATGCTAGAGCATTCGCCAAGGTACAGGATAGTTCTAGAAAGCAGAGGGCGTGAGAATAGTCACGTGATCTCGCTGACGCAACAATATAAATAACCAAATAATGTAATTTGTTATTACACCTTGTTAACGTCTTTGTATAGACATTATAATATACGAAACAGTTTGTGTGTACATTTATATTTCTGTGCCTGTAGAGTATATTAAGTTTTATCGACTAACAATTTTTTGTTTATTGTATTTGTTTTCTGACTAAAATAGGATGTTCTGCTGCGCTTGTGAAAGTACTGATACGTTGTTTTTAACAAACAACAACATTTATCAAGCCGTTTGATATGCATTCTGGGGGCTGTGTTTCAAGCTAGAGTTTCTATCTTTCTGTACTTACATTCCTTCAAGATACCACATAACTATAGATACCAAAGCGGCAAGACACGAAAGTATACTCACAGCTTTTAATCAATGACATCAATTAACCTGACCTATTGATGTTGCCGAGAATAAAGATAACCGAAAAAAGAATACCATAAAAAGTTCTCAGGCGTAATGTATTTATTTAAGATTTCTAATTTTTTAGCGCACAGTTCAATATCTAACAGAAATATAATGTATTTTCTGTTGGTTTTTTTTCTGTATATGCGGGATAAGGTAAAGAAGAGCTATAGTTTTGAGAGTGTGAACAAAAACGGCGCTCAGTTTTAAATGTACATATTAAGTAATTTTATAAATTCAATTTTGATGTTTATTTTAATAATCAAAATTTAATCGGAATTTCGATTAATTGTTAAGCACTGGTCACAACACAACAAGAAAACTAAAATGTGATATGCTGATTGAATCATAATAGAACAAGAAACTAACGGCTATAAATAATGAATTAGGTCCCAACGTACAAGAACACTAATAACGAATAAGAAAACTAAATACTATACGAAATGAGTTCGGTCCCCAATGAAAAAGACAACTAAGGACTGCATAAAATGAGTTAGATCATAATGAGCAAGAAACTAAGGACTATATAGAATGAATTCGATCATTATGCAATAAAAGAACTAAAGATTATCGGTGTAATGAATCAGGTTATAATGAACAAGAAAATTAAGCACCGGACTTAATTAACTAAGTATACAACAATAGAACTAGGTGTGTATACAATGAATGAGGTCATAATGAATAGGAAAACTAAGGTCTGGACATAATGAACTAAGTCCTTATACAACAAGAGAACTAAGGACTGTATACAACAAATTAGGTAACAGTGAACAAGAAAACCAAGAACTATGTTTAATGAACAGAGCCTTTATGGAGCAAGAGAAGTAGGGGTACACATAATGAATTAGGTCATAATGAACAAGAAACTAAGGGCTGGATATAAAGAATTAAGTCATTGTGGATCAAAAGAAGTAAGGACTGTATAGAATGAATTAAGCCATAATGCGGCAAGAGAACTAAAAACGGGACATAATAAATTAAATTATGATATGCCATAAAATTAAGAACTGGGAAAAACAGTTTGTATATAACATGTTATTAGAAATAACATTTGAATACACTGGATTAGAACAAAGGACTGAATATACGGAAGTGATCATAATATGTGCTATATACTATGCCATAAGGCCGAATTAAGACCTACAAGCAAATTTAACATAAGAAAAATTATTAAATGAGGTTAAGAACTTGAGTTTACATCTGAAATCTTAAATCTTACAAAAGGCATAGAGATAAAATTTAAAACACGTGAAAGTTTTCTTTAAATTTGAATAAATTAAAACAATAACATATAATTATTCAGAAAATGTTTATACTTTGAGGCTTCGAGTACATTATTGATTGTAGATTTTATGACATACCACGTTCTTAAACAACTTCTTAGCATAAAGAAAAAAACAACAACAACTCTAAACTAACTTCAGAGCACCAGCAATTAATTACAATAATTTCTTTCTTGAATTTCGAGCAAAGCCACTAGAGGGCTACCTGCACTAGCCGTCCCTAAATTTGAAATGATAGATTAAAGGGAAAGCAGCTAGTTAAAAAACCTGCCCCTAAATCCCGATACTGTAGCTGACTGACAGCTAGTTAATCAAATAATTAGTTCTGTATAAATGTCAATTGAGATTAAAATGAAAACAGACAAAGAGTTTACCTTCCCTGTCCAGTACTGCACATTTCGTCCGTGCTCGTGGAAAGAAGATGGAACCGCGTCAATCGTTGCTGTTCCCCATCCACGTTGTTCGCAAATATCATTCAAGACCTAGTAAGTTTTTAATAAAAATTGGTTTAAAATCATGCCCATATTCCTATTTATCTATACGTTAAAACAGTAGTTATCTGTCTGTGGTATAATATTCTTATTGGAATGTTTTGTGCTTATCATGGTTACGTTAAAGAGTACAGAATACATTGATCAAGAGAAATGTTACCTTTGAGTTTTAATTTATCGAAATGCTGGTAAGATAATTCCATATATAAAAACGGGATAATTTAATGATTTATATACATTTCTTCGTTTACATGAGTTTCAACAGCGGACAACAGATAAACAATGATGTTTCATATTATTTTATTAGAAATTACAGTTTTTACAGTAAAGTAAAATACTTTTAAATCAGGTACGACGTTTCGATCACTGGTACAAACTTGTGTACTTTATCGCACCAGTGATCGAAACCTCGGTCCTGTTTTTTAAAATATTCTTCCTTACTGTAAAAGCTGTAACTTTTAATAAAATAATACTTATAATAAGTAAGTAAACTTAGAAAGGAACTATTAATGATGTTTAATGTATATTATTTTACCATATCATAGGAAGAGTAAAATTAACCTTTTACATTTTGCTTTGGTTATTTACAATTAATCATTTTGTAATTTAAAAAAATATTCTACATTTTTTGTCAACTTAAGATATCCAAAATTATTTTGTTGTTTATAAAATGCATCAACACCAAATACTGTGAGAACTAGTAAACCTAATAGCAGGATTACAAAGTAATACAGTCTGAATTACCTGCTGCGGAGAGCGGGTTGGTCGAAATGTAACAGGATTAGTTGGATAAATTTCCAAGTCATGGATCATACCCGACATGGGAACGAAACGAGACTAAAAAATACAGTTCATTAATTAAATTATTAATGGTCTCGCTAAATATGGGATTTTTATCTGATTTGAGTGCTTTATACGCGTATAAAGTTTAATAATAAACATGAAATTACTCGAAACGTTTATATATAAATATATATTACACAAAAATAATGAAACTGATATGTTTAGAAGGTGGTTGTTCAAGTATTTGATTATGAGACATTCGCTTTCATCACATACAATCTTCTGGTAGTCTTTCAGTTGACAATGATTAAACATTCTTTTCGCGTTGAAATGCAGCGAAAGCGTCCCGGAAGACACTGTGCTTATTCTATAATTTCAACAAATTCTTGATACAGCACATCATCATACGTCAACGCGATTTTATTAGCCGCGGCATAGCGGCTCATAGAATGGCTGCGAGTTTTTTGTTTTTTTTTACATCAAGTACAAACTTTTAGCTCATAGCTTCGTCAACTATTGACCGATTTGAGATCTAATTACAGTTTTGGACTCAGAAGGTCAAACCATTTCGACTGGTGTATTTGGCCACGCCCAAGATCTCATAGATTAATTTACTCTAATTCTGCCTAACAGAATATCAAATTGAGGGTAGGCTGGTAGAGATCCTGATGTCTAATAAAATCGAATCGGGTATACGCACGCCCTACGCTTGGTATTGCTGGCGCGCAAAAATATAGCTAATAAAAAGGAATAAAAGGTATCATAGATTAATTTACTCTAATCCTGTCTAAAAGAATTTCAAGTGCCGCGGCTATTGAGGATTCCCTTTTGTTTCAGATATTGTAACAATCCTTATCCACCGCCCCCACCCCTCAGCAGTAAGTCTTCAGACATATGACGCTAAAAATCGGGTTTCGCTACTTGTGGTGGGCAAAACACAGATAGTCCAATACAAAACCAAACTCATCCACCTATGGTAGTCTGGAGACGATATTTTGAACAACTTCACACCTGCACTAAACGTTGTCTTGAAAGTGAGACAGGTGAATGAAGTTTATCATAATATCTTAGGTGAATCACTACTTGTGACCTAATAGTGGCAGTAAGATATCTAACGAAAACTCTACTTGTGTTGACTAAAAATGGTAATTTTTGTAATTATTTTTAAAATTAGTGCTGCTGTCTGTTGGACATTCGTTAGACTAAATTTAAAATTCCAATTTTAAATTTGAATCCGTTGCTGCATTCCAATTTTACGAAATTGGATAGACCTGTTAATTTTTCTGCTTCGTTGAGAGGTTCTCGATTTTTGTTTAACCTATTTTCAATATCCTGGTCTTATAAATAGCCTCGTTTCTTCGTAATTATTTATGTTTAAAAAATTTTGCTCAAATTTCGAAGGTTTATTTTGCCATTTAAGTCTTGGAAGTCACTTCCTTCCAAATTTTTAATATCTTATAGTGAATCTTGTGATATATTGATAAGAGATAGCTGAAAAATGGCTAACAGAACGAACCTTTCGAAAATATAATGAAAACGATTCGTAAATATGAGTGATAAACTTTTTATCTGATAACTCTCTCTGAGACTTAACATTTTTACATTTGTGAAATCCCCATGGTTATCTGTTTACAAAAGTAAAGGCCAGTATGTAAAGTTTTTTCTTTCTATAGTCTGATATCGGACAAACACAAGGATAAAAATAATGTTAGATGAAAGAATGGGTCATCTCCAGCACTTGTAGAACGGTATGAGATAGATATTTGATATAAAAACTCAGTTTTATTTCCATTATAATTACGAATATGTTATCCAGCGAGTCAACAAATGAATCCAACAGTGTCAGACACAAGGACGTCAAATGTGGGAACAGGAGGGGCAATTACCCCTCCGTTAGAAGGACATAAAAATAAAGTTCCGGTTTTACACTTGAACTGTGTAAAGCTACAGATCTTTCTAATGCCAGGCCACATACTAAGTAAAGCTACAGATCTTTCTAATGCCAGGCCACATACTAAGTAAAGCTACAGACCTTTCTAATGCCAGGTCACATACTAAGTAAAGCTACAGATCTTTCCTAATGCCAGGTCACATACTAAGTAAAGCTACAGATCTTTCTAATGCCAGGTCACATACTAAGTTTTGTGACCTCTCGAACTCCGTAACCCCCCATACACGCAAATGACATTGGTGGTTATTTTTTATATTTTCAGCTCGTCATACATACCTCCACGTTACGTTTCATACCAGCTGCCCCTCTACCAGTAGCGTATCCTGTATATCCTGTCACTCCACCACGAGATGGTCTTATTCCAGCTGCTCCACGACCTCGACCTCGAGAGGGCATTCTTATAGGTGGTGGCGGTGGATGTACACGACTGTAGATAAGAAGCTTGTAATTAATGATTTTAAGTGAAACGTTATGTATGGAAACTGTGTTTTAAAGTCAAAGAACAACATAGCGTTGAGCTATGATTTAATGTTGTTTTTTATCTGAATATTTTCTTAAGATCTAGTTTCGCAGAATAAGCTATCCTTACACTAGACGATGCACTCGCACTGAGACTGCAGAACGACTTACGTAGACATGAAAAAAAGTTAACACCCAGAAAATACTACGGATCAAAATTGAGTATAACATTACTATACTAGTAAAAACAAACTTTTGATTACGGATATAAACTTTCGAAAAGTTTTTAAACTATTCATGTTGTACATCTGACCAGTGCGGGTCATGTGTCGCCTAGTTGTTAAGCGCATAGCTACACGATGGGTTTACTGTGCTCTGCCTACCTGTGAATCCGAGAGACCACGGCTCGCGTCTGGTGCCATAAAATTGCGCTCTGTACTTTGCGGCCGATTGACAGTGAAATTACAGTATTATATTAAGATTAAAGTAGTCCAAGAGATGGCGATAGGTTTTTACTGACTAGCTACCTTTTCTCTGGTCAAGGATAGCTAATTATTGTTTTTATCAAAGTCTCAATTTCTTGCTTACAGTAAGGTTACGATCCAACAAAACATTTTGCACCTGTCCCTCTCCCACAAATGACTGATAGGTAGATCTATGCAAGAATATAACTCTTAACACTTTGTTTACTTAAGATAATATAAATGTGCTCTGATTCCCGTGTTTTAATATAGTGTACTGCAGAATGTTCATTTATTAATCAATTTTTAAAATACAGTACTTTTATTTCTATGTTGTCCTAAAATTCCAGATGAGAATGTTATTGAAAAGCAAACAAACAAAAAAACCAATACTAGCAATCTGTTCGAAATGTACTGACTGTCCTTATTCAGAGCGCAGTATACCTTAGACTATCACTACTCTTACCTAACAGTTCAAAATCAGTGACAGCTAGAACCACTGACCTCTCTCTCTCCCTATAACGGTAAAATTTAAGTTTCGATACCTGCGGTGGGCAGATCATAGATAGCTTATCGTGTAGCTTTATGCTTAACAACGAACTGTCTAGAGCGTTACCTCGAAAATGTTTGAAACTACCCGTTAATACAAGAGATAAAACGAAAGAAAGCGAATATAGCAAAACACTATTGAATTCTTACTAAAAAAAAAAGTCAAAGGTTATGGTTCCACACAAACAGATTAATTTTTTTCTTATTGTACTTAATGAAAACAAGTATAATAAAAAGATCTTGAAATTTTATAAAGACAAGTATGAATCGATATATACGTAATCTAACTAGCTCTAGTAATATAGAAAGTTTTAATGCTACAAAACGTATTGAAACAAGAAAGTCAAAACTACAAAAAGTGATTTACTTAAAATTAAAAACAAAATATTCCTACTTTGGCAAACCACTGTAATTATGTTAGTCTGGGACAAATTAGGGGAAAAAATAGTGAAATTTTGATTCACTCCATAAACACGTATATAGCGATTTAGGCGGCTTTATAAATACAATAAGATCTAGTTTTGCTCAGCCAATACCGTGAAATAGTCATTGTTAATATTTAGATATTTTAAAGTTGGTTTTAAACTGGCGACTTTTATGGCCGCCATTTTGTTTCATCATGATTCTTGCTATTAAGTATTTATTGATAGATCTAATATAAATTATCTACTAATAAAAAAAATGAGTAACGAACTTTTTAAAGCTTGTTTAATCTAAAAATGTCTTTGTACTGATGTTCAAAGTTTAATATTTATTAAAACATGCTATTATACCATAGAAGTTAAAGGCGAACAAAAAGCCTCTGAAAGGACAATAGATAATACCCTTATTTCCATTGTATGAATTATCACCACTGGTGGTTTAAACGGACGTAATCATACATCGAAATCTGTCGAAGTATTAAAAGCAAAGATTTTAGTTGTTTTGATGTTAAGCACAAGACTACACAATGGGCTATCTGTGCTCTGAAGAATGCGGATATCGAAACCCAATTGTTTTTTCAAGTTCAAGAAATAAGAACAATACATTCAATACAAGAAATAGGAAATAATAGTATAAAAATTATAGAATCAAATAAAAAAGAAAAGAAAATTCGCTAGATTGCTCGTATGTGGATTATAAACAAATATATAATTAAACAGTAGATTAATACTATTCCATTTATTAAATTTTATGCAATTTCAGCTTATTTTAACATGTGGGTCGCGGGTTCGAATCCCCGTCCCACCTAATATGCTCGCCCTTTCGGCCGTGGGGGCGTTATAAATG